TGCAGCTCCTTTTCCCGCAGCTGCGGCCACGTCCAGTCCGTGGCCCAGCTCAGCTCTGACCGCCTGGGCGTCGCGCCCTCTCCTTCCCGCTGCAGGCGGCGGCTGTGGCTCTTTTTTGTCGCAGGAGGGATTTGTGCAGAGAAAAGCGTTTGCAAAAACCTTCTGATGACGCGCCAAGGCATCATTTTGCTTTCGAAGCGCTTTGCATGAGTGATGTCTGGGTCCTGGGGTCTCCGCGGAGCAGCGCTGGCTGCCGCGAGCCTCCGACTCCATCCCCTTGGTCCCACCCCTCGGGGACCGCGCTCGGTGGGCGGTGACACCGTGGTGAATGCTGACAAGCTCCGTGGGGAAGTAACTTCCGGAGCTGTCCTGCCATTGGAGCTGCGAAGCAGAATGAACGGTGGGTTCAGGAAATCCTCAAAATGCAAAAGAAATAAGAAAGTTTCTTGATCAGTGCTATTCGTATATTAAAAAACACACACACATTAATGTCAATAAATGATTGAATGCCAACTAAATAGAGAAATAAACGGGGAGAAGTGACATAGCTCCCATTCAGAGGCATTCCAAATAATTGTGGGGTTATTACCTCCTCTCGGAGAGGAGCTCACCTTCCTCCCCTTGAGCAGGAGCTTTGCTTAGTGTTTTGCTTCCAAAGAGCAGAGGGTGGAAAGACAGGGGGAGCCAAAATGGTCAAAGTTAACCACGTCCCTGATGAGTCTTGTCGATAGCAAGGAACACTGGCATGTACGATGGGATAAGATGACACTTCATCTCTGTGGTCTTCCTCCCCAAAACTCCTATCTTCCCTCTAACCATGGTGAAGGTTCTGCAAAATACCTGACCCATACTCCTCAGACTGCCAGGGTCCTCGGAAACAAGGACAGTCTGGGAAACTGTCACAGAGGAGATGGGCCTAGGATGCCTACATGCAATGCTCTGCACTATCTTTTCAACTTTTCTGTAAATCTAGACCATTCTAAAATAAAATTTAAAAGTATTTAAAAAAACCATTCGCTTGCATTTGTATCAGATGCGTGTAAATATGTTGTCTCATTTAATGCCATTCAGCAAGCATTTCCAAGGAGCCAATTCTGTGTTAAGCCTTAAAATAGATCCTGGGAACACAGGGAGTCCCTAATTGGGGGATAAACAATTTAATTGCAGTACTTGTTGCAAAGGAGAAGAGGAACTCTCTCTGGGGCAGAAGAAACCAGAGAAACACTTGCCCTGGGTTACAACCTGCTGGTGATGCCCAAAACTGTGTGAGGGACCCCTGGGTGTGCAGTAATGGGCACAGTTCACCGAAGAGAGAGTCTTCGAGAGGAACTTGGCCTTCACTTAAATTAGTAAGGTGTAGATATAGAAGGATTGAGAGACAGGTATTCATTTACTGATCCAGTAAGTATTTATTGGGCTTGTCATATGTACCAAGCAGAGAAATCAGGGTCAGATTTTGAAGTAAAGTCGTATTTTAATAAACATCAAGAAGTCACTTGACAAGATTCAACATCTCCTGATTTTCTAAACTCTCATTAAAATAGGAATAGATCGATGCTTTTTAAAATTATGAAATCATACAAAAAAGGTAAAGCCAATAACAAATAAATACCCATGACACACACAACCTAAGAAAAATATTTCAGGTGGTGAGGTCTGGGCAGCCATCCCTGAACACATTTCCCTCCCTATCCCCATGGTGACCACTTGCCCAAATTTGGTGTTTATAATTCCTTTTCCTATCTTCCTATTTCTGCCATATGTGTATTTCTAAGCATTACAGTATTGTCTTGCAATACTTTTTAAATAAATGCTAATCCTTTTGCATGACCTTTTATGATGTCTTCAGCTTAGTCTCAAATGGTTCAGAACAAAATATGATGTGTAGTATGAGTGTATAGAGGGAGAGATTATAATCCTTTTGGACAATTTTTGTACTCTACAAGGTATGCTATAATGAGATTCTTGTACATGTATCATGTCACCTAGGAATGAAAATGGTTAGTCCTAGAATATGCATATGTGAGATGTAATCAAATTGCTCTGCAAAGCAAATGTACTAATAATCTTGGCACTCTCCAACCAACCTTTGAGCCTTGTGTTACAAAGACAAAAATGCAGGAAAATGGATAGGTGTAGTGGTCAGAACTTGCGAAAGTTTTTCTGATTATATAACTTTCTGCAGTGAAGTTGGAAGCCACTCCTCTATGCAAGCATGAGGCTTCAGGAGATAGAATCCAGAATGAAGGGTCATCTAGGAGGGTGGGAGGGCTGATAATGGTCTAGGAAAAGACAGTGTGACCACCCTCCTGAGATTAGTGATCATAAATTTAGGGCAAGACTGATTGGCCATGCTTGTTTTTTCTCAGCCTTGCTCAACTGTGCAGGTCTGGTGTTGAGTAAGCAGAGAGTTGGAGTCAAACAAAATAATGGCTTATGCCAAGCCATGTAACGAAGCAACAGGTGATGCTTCAGGCTTCTGACGACAATCCCGGTTACATAGCTTTACTTAGCGTCCATATACCAATAACTCCAAATGAATAACTGTGGTATCCGGATTTGGCCAAACACAAGTGTAGATGTTGCAGTGAGAAAAGTTTTAGAAAGTATTGAAACCAGCAGACTTTGAGTAAAGCAGATTGCCCTTAATAAGGTGGGTGAGCCTCATCTAATCAGTTGAAGGCCTTAGGAGAAAAAACTGGAGTACCCTGAGGAAGAAGGAATTCTGCCTCCAGGCTGCCTTTGAGCCCAAGACTGCAACATCAACTCTTCCCTGGGTGTCCAGCCTACTGGCCTGCCCTGAAGATTTTAGTCTTCTGCTTAACAAAAATGGGGTTGGTTTATTTATTTTGCCACTCCCTTCCAGCTGCTTCCTAATTTGCCTATTGCTTCAAACAGTAGGTACAGAGAAATTTTATTCTTGTTTAGTTGCTTGGCAAACATCAAAATTTGCTCAGGTTCAAAATAACCCTTACATGGGCATATATTGATATCATGTATTTGAATAGAGAAATATATACACATATA